CAGAGCCCCAGCACTGGGGCTTCATTCCCGTCACCACCAGGACCCGGGAGCCTTCTGCAAGGCCTGGGCGGCCCGCGCAGGCTGAATCCCATCCCGTGGTCAGGAGAGGGACCCCAGAGAAACCCCCTTGGCCAGGGAGGAGCGCGAGCCCTTGGTGAGCTCTGCGCCGGGGAAACCCCCTTGCTTGGCCCCGCGCCTGCTCTGCCCTGGGTGGGTTTTCCCGTGTCTCTGGACACGAGGCCTTATTCCAAGCTAGGCGATGGGCCGCAGCACCCCTGTCCCCATGGACGTCCCTGCCGCAGAGCTGGCCTCTGCACTGTGGCCAAGCACCGTCCCCGCCGTAGGGAAGCGCATTCTCCTGGTGTCCAGCCTCCTTTTACACTTTCCTAGCCGCTCCTGACGGCACCCGGCTCCACGGGGTGCACCACGAGGGTCCCCCTTTTCCCCTTGCCCTTCCGCAGGAGCGGTGCCCCCGATCTGCTGATCTGGGCCTCTGCGCCCCTCTGCGCAGCCTCCGGGCGCTTTGCCCCAGGCCGGGCGCTCCGTGGGAGCGTGAGGAACACAGGCAATGGAGACAGGCAGGCGCTGGCGCCGCGATTGCGGCCTCCCTTGGGTGGAAGCCGGGACGCGCGGGAGCAGCGAGCGCCGCCGCTCGGCTCCGGCTGGGAGAGGGCTCTGCTGGACTCTATTCCTGTCTGTAGGTTTTATTCAGACGATATGTAATGGTGGAGTGATTGGCAATTCGGTGTTAAGCTAATGAAAACGTTGGTGATAATAAAACGTTTTTCTTTTCCTACGCTTGTTTTGGAGGTTTTTTCACAAAGAGGCTCCAGGCCTCTGGGTTGCCACCGGGATCTCCTTGACCTGGAATTTCGTCCTTCACACATGTCCTCCCTGCACCTAGCGGGAACAGGACACGCTCCACCAGGGACACCCCCCGCCGGGAACTGGCTCCTTCCTGCAGCCTCTGAAAGGGTCCTCTCCAAACCAACCCCACTTTGAAACCCACATTTCCACACGAAATCTGCCTGCAGGCACCTCCAGGAACGGAGCTAAACTCACTCCTTGCTCGAACCCGGCCCAGGGCCTGGCTCAGAGCTGTCTACTCCTGCCAACTTCCCCCCAGTCTCTTGGTGACCAACACTGGTGGAGGACACTTGGAAGGGTGACCCCAGCCAGGAGGCTGCAGCCTGGCCAGCACCAGGAGACAAATGGCCTCTTAATACTGAACTCTCAGCAAGAAGCAGCCAGGCTCCCTTAGCCCAGGCTCGCTCAGGTGGTGCTCGTTTATGGCCCAAAGGGAGCCGAGCTCCCGGGAGCACCTGCAGAAGGACAACACGGTTATGGGGAGCTCTCTGGTCCTCCATCCCTCCTGCCCTGTGCTCCTCACAACCCGCACGTGGCCCTGCGAGGCCCCAGGCCCCACAGACCAGCACCACTGCCTGAGGCTGGTTTAGGGAGGCTTAACTGGTTCAGGAAGCTGCAAAAGTGGCTGCAACTGCTGATAAGAGACATTAAAATCCATCTGAGGAGCCTGCAGTTACAGGGAGTTCCTGCCCCATCCTTTCTGCATATCACATTCACCAGCAACACAAAATAACAGCGAGCATCCATGATACTTGAGAATGTCCCCTTTTTCCAGGGATGCTTGCGGAGAAGCATGGGATGTGGGACCCAGCCACCTCACTTCGCTCCTCGTTGTGAAGAATAACCCACCACCACCAGCTGGTTTCACCTTTTATTAAATTTTCCGGAACAAAAAGAAACAAGAGCAAAAGGCAAAGCCTGCAGTGAGGCCTTTGCGATTCTGGTGCCCTGCACACCCTTCCTGCTGGGAAAAGGGGATTTTCCTCCCTCAGGGGGAAAAAAAACCACCACCACCCAGGGGTACTTTACATAGACCTAAGAGTGAAAATATCCCTATGAGGGGGGAAAAAGTGGGAGGGAGCTTCTGCTGCCAGAGTCCAGGATGAGCATGTGCCATGTGGGGAGTGAGGGGAACGTGGGGAGCCAGGGCCAGGGCCTGCTCCCTCTCGGGTTCTGCGTGCCAGAGCTGCCCATCTCAGCCAGACTCCTCCCAAACAGAGGGCAAAACGGAGATCCAGGAGTGAGGAGCGGAATTTGGGGAAGGAGAGCCCAGAAAAGGCGGCAGCAGCACCCCAGCGGTGGTGCTGGGATGTGCCAGTGCTGCCCTGCTGCTGGCCTGGCCTGGGGGGCAGAGGCTCTGGGGTTCAGGCACCTGTCTCTTCCGCAAGGTTTTCCCTCCTCCTTCAGCTCCTTCCTCTCCACAGGGAGGCCGAGGAGCCGCACGGAGGCGGGTGGGCAGGGAGCCGGCAGCCTCCCGGCTCCGTGTGGAAGGGGCACCTCGCAGGAGCACGAGCTGGAGCTCGCAGGAGCGCATCGAGGGGCTGAGAGGGGGTTTGGCCACAGGGACCCATGGCCTGGAGGCTCCCGGCTCTATCAGCACCCAGAAAGAGCCACACTGCTCAAAAACGGGCTCTCTGCACAGGAGGGGCTTGTGGAGCAGGACAGCGTGACCAGGAGGCTCTCGGGACACCCCAGGGCCCGGCCCAGCCCGCTTCGTGGCACAGAGGGAGCGGAATACCCCATCTCCAGCAATGCCCACACCGAGCCAAGGGCTTGTGCAGGTATGGACAGGGTCAAGGCCAGGTGATGAAGGAAAAAGGAGTTTTAAGTTAATGACTTAATCAGGACCAAACCCTTCACGGGTGGCTTTATATGGCTCAGGACACCTCCCTGTTGCCCCCCAGCACAGCTGAGCTATGGTTTGGCTGGAGCAGCTCAGCTACCAGCAGCAGCCATCTCCAGCAAAGAGGACCTGCAGCTGCCTGGCCTGCTCCGCCTGGGAAAGCAAACGCTCCTTGTGCTGGATCCCACATTGTGCGGGGGCCTCTTGCCAGCGCCGAACGCTTGAATTGATTTGGGGTAAAAAAAGCAAAGAAAACTAAAAATGTGTAATTCAGTTTGGCCAGTCCTGCAAAAAGGAAGGATTATTTATCAGCAGGGCCTAAAAGACCCTGCGGCCCCTGAAAAGGGAGTGTGGAACAGAAGAAACATGAGCAACAAGAGTGACCTGACTTCTCAGTTAATAATTTATCATCCAAATCCGCCCTGGGCAGCTGAATATGGCTCAGCACGTGCCCGCCTGGAGCACGCGCTCCTAGATGGATTTCCTTCGCGGGCGGGAGTGCTGCCGGCAGCGAGGGCTGCTGGACGACAAGGTGCTCCCCGGGGAGGAGCCAGTCTGCCCCCTCGTGCTCAGGGAGACCTCGTCGATTTTGTAGGAAATGGAGTTGTAATAGACGGGGTTGGTGTGGCAGCTCAGGGTCTCGGGGTGGGAGGGCACGGGGCTGCCGCACAGCTGGGGTTGGTAGCACAGGCACGTGCAGAAGGAGGGCACCTTGGCGGCCGAGTGGGCAGACTGGCGCCGCTGCCTCTCTGCGTCCTCCTGCATCAGCGGGATGAGGTTCATCTGGCTCGTCCTGTCCTCAACGGAGAGAAAAATAGCGTTGCGGCTCCGGCTGTCCTCCTTCGGGTTCACATGGATGTTGTTCCTGGCTCTGCGCAGGGATGCCCTCTCCTCGGCATCCCGCCGCTCGTCCTCCGAGTTCATCGTCAGAAACCTCAGCACCACCAAGTTAAGGAAGGCGCCGATGACAGTTAGGCCCACCAGGATGTACATGAAGCTGAAGGCCACATACGGGGGCTTTTTTTGCAAAGCTTCGTTCTTCTGCAGAGCCACAAAGTCTCCAAAGCCAATAGTGGTCAAGGTGATGAAGCAGTAATAATAGGCATGAAAGAAAGTCCAGCCCTCGAAATAAGAGAAGGCTGCGGCACCGATGCACAGGGTCCCCATGCAAGAGAGAAAGCCGACCAAGACCATGTTTTCCATGGAGACATTGGTTGTCCTCATGCCCAGGCATTTCTTGATCTTTTTGAGCAGTAACCTGACCACGGTGTTCATGCGCTCCCCCAGGCTCTGGAACATAACCAGGGTGAGGGGGATGCCGAGGATCGCGTAGAACATGCAGAAAACTTTGCCAGCGTCGGTGCCTGGGGCAGCATGTCCGTAGCCTGCAAAGCAAAGAGGACAGGCAGGCATCAACCCTGCTCCTGGGCTGCTGGCAATGCTACCCTGGGACTGGCAACCACCTGCTGAAAGCGGCAGGAGGAGAACACGGTAAAAATAAATCACTAACGGATTTGCAGTCCTCTAACTGATGCTAAACAGCCACGGGATGCCACATCACTTGGCTGATGGCACATGGGCAGCAGGTCGTCCTGCCCCAAAGGTGCACATCCAGCCCAGGCCTGCCCACGGGTGCCCCTGGGGAACCATGGTCACCTCCCCTGGCCCGCTCGTGTGTCGGGCATCTCCAACTCTCATCTGTGTGGTAGTTTATTATGTTGTCTGTTGAATGACAGCTCCAGGGCTGGTCCCTGCAGAAGCACATAAGCCTGTGAGGAGTTCTGCAGAGCAGCTTCTGATCTTCTCCAACGTTGCTGCAAGAAGACTCACACCTAAAGTACTGCTGAGCATCTTTAGGATAGGGAGATGCACTGTCTTAAATACAGTGAAATATTTACTCCAGTGCAGCTCTGCCAGCCACCCTGTCCTAGAGACTGGAGAAGAGGCGGGAGCATCTCCCACTCTCCTTGCATCCCCTTCACAGCTTTAATTTCCCTGCATTGTTCTGAGTTTCAGAGCGGTGACTCAAGGACTCGCACAATTACGGTGAGCTGTAATGAAGTGTTCACCGCGATCTTGCGGATTTCTGCGCCCACCTGACTTAATCATGTGAGTCTAGCCAAAACTGGTGGCCTTTGACCTAAACGGGTGAGTAACTAACTCAATGCAAGGGAGACATGGAGCGCTGTGCTGCATGGGGGTGACGGAGGAGACATCCAATCCTTTGCTTATAAGAATCTATGGGACTGGAAACTTCCTTTCTGAACATGTTTGCAGAGCACCTCGGGGGGCCCAGTGGGGCAGAAGGCTCTTTCTTGCACCACTATATGTCCTTTTGCAAATAGCTTTTTTATATTTCACATCTTCCATGTTTTCATGTGATTTCTGCATGAAGAACATGGAAAAGGCATTCTTTATTCCTCAGTTTCATTCAAAGCTACGACTTGGCTTCACCTCTGCCTATGCTGCCTGTGGCTTTCCAGGGCTTTCAGAGAAACTTAGGATGCAGTGCTGGAAGGATCAGAGGAGGATTCATGTGTTGTCCCAGGTGCTCAAGTGCACCTCCCACTCCAGGAGATTCTTGCAATTGGGCAGAGCTGAGAGGCCAGACACAGAGTTACCCTTGAACACGCTGCTCTCCCAACTACAAATGCAAAGGGCGAAGCATTTCTAATTGCTGTGTGTCTATAAACTCACACAATCCAAAACGATCAACCCAATTTCCGCACGCCAGAGAACCCAGAGCAGGCACAAGACTGCAGGGGCAAAAAAAGTATCCCAGCCAGCTCATTAGCCTAATAACTAATTGTAATTACCGGATCCTGAGACATGGGAAAATACTATGAGAGCAACAAGGAAGTAAATAATGATCCAGAAGAGCAGTAAGTGGAAAAACAGCTGTTTTATCAGGAGCAGCTCCTGAAAGACCGTATGACTGATGCCTTCAGAATGACAAAGGGAATTAGAAAGAGTAAACACAGCTATGTTAATGGCAAACCTGAGATGTAGGGCACCGCTCTATTTAAAGCAATCTGCTGTGCCAAGGTTTGAGAAATATGGCATCTGGGCTGAAATTATTTATGGCATGGTGTAGGTGACTTGTATCTGTCAGAGTCAACGGAAAAATAATGCAAATGAAGCCATAACCTGTCACGAGACGATGGGGATTTTCACTGGAGTCATTCATCTTGCCCTACTGTGGGGACATTGTGCTGAACGTGCCCTGACTCTGATCCCACCACTCCTTGTTTGCTCCTGCCCTGAAATATGGTGCTTTCTGCTAGTGGATGTGGTTTATCCATTGCAAGCCCTTCCTTAGGGCTAATCCCAGTCCTCCAGGATCCCTAATCCTAGACAAGGAGGCAGCCGCTCCCTGGGCAAGGCCAGGACTTGGCCTCTGGGTTGCTGCCTCCAAAACACATCCGTGCCCTGAAATCCCGGCGAGGGCCGCCGCGAGCACGGGCTCCCGAGGGCTGCCTACCCCCTCGGCGCATGGATTAATTAAGTGGCTTAATTAAACCATGTTAAACACCCAGGTGGCTAATGCCACTTAGAATTAAAACAATCCTTATTCAATTTTAATTCTGTTCCAAAGTAGAAGGCAAATCAAGTCAAGGCTGGACTTTGCTCCAGGTACGGGCACCTGCACGGGAATTGAATGCGATTCCACCATTCTCTTCCAAGGTAAATTCACAGCTGTTCCTGCACCAACAGAGCAAGGTTCCGTGTCCTGGTCACTGTCACAGGAAAACACGGTTTTGCACTGTCAGTGGGGCCAACCCTTCTTGGCAGGCTCTCCGGCCAAGCTGGCTGGCGCCGTTGGGAGATCTCATACCCAGTGCGTGGGCACGGAGCCGCACAGAGCACGAGCTCCCACCTCCGCTGCCCTGCTCCGTTCCCGGCCGGGACGGTGCCCGCAGGAGTAGCGGGGGCCACGTGTCACAGCTCCAGCCACCGCAGCACCTCTGATGTCTCCCAGACCGGGCAGCCCCCAGCCTGCCCGTGAATCCCCTCTGCCAGGCCCTGGGTGCCAGCAGGTCACCCAAGGGGTGGCCTGAAGGGACACCCCAGCCTTCCCCAAGCAGACAAGTCCCTTGGGCTGCCCCAGGGCACCCGGAGGTGCTGAGGGTGTGAGGGGGGGTGCAAGGTGCAGGGATTTGAGGATATGGAGCTTCAGAAGTGAGGGGTGCAGGGAGGTGGGAAATACATGGATTTGGGGGGGCAGGGATGTGGGGATATCAGAATTCGGGGTGCAGGGATGTGGGGATATAGGGATGTGGGGATACCATGGTGCGGAGAATTACGGATGTGGGGATATAGGGGTGCAGGGCTGTGGGGATGCAGGGATGTAGGGCTGCAGGGATGTGGGGGTACCAGGAACTGGGATGTAGGGCTGTGGGGTTACAAGGATTTAGGGGTGCAGGGCTGTGAGGACGCAGGGATTGGGGATGCAGGGATTGGGGATGCAGGGCTGCAGGGATACAGGGAATGGGGGTCCATGGACTGGGATGCAGGGCGGCGGGGCGCGCACTCACCGATCGTGGTGATGACCGTGATGGCGAAGTAGAAGGAGCCGGCGAACTTCCACTGGCGGCCGGCG